TTTGCTACCTTGAAATCGAAACGGATAGGTTTCATTTTTCACACATGTCTTCAATACTGCTTTCCTTTTGAGTTGAGGTGCTGTCCTATTCTGTTTGTGGTCATTTAGATATGAATGCATCTCTACATCGCTGTAATAGAATGTGCCGTTTATGAGTTGAGAGTTGCTCTTTTGCTTTGAAAAATCTCTATAGACCTACATGGGCCGTTCTCCTGTTCTCGAACGAGAACTACGCTTGTTAACAATGAAAATATCTGTGGTTTTATGCGCTAAAACCACGATATGAATATGAGCACGCCATAGTGAAAGGTTCCGGAATTTTTGACAATGTGGTGTTTTGTAACGTGCACTGGCATGGCAGAATCGTGTTTCATCTGTCTCGTCTTTTGTTTTTGCACGCTGTGTTTTTTTTACTTTAAAGAAGCTCAAGTTCACACGCTTTTCATCAGACAGCACTCGGGTCTGCTTCATCAAAATGCGACCAGCGCGACAAAAATCTAATTAAGTTTTTCTGCTGCAAGACTTCGACTAACAAGTTATTTTTGTCTAACTACTACGTAAACAATAATTCAACCAAGAACTAACCTTTTTCATAATTACACTGGACTTTATCATCGCATGTTTGAATTCGTGATCGGATGTTTGTGACTGCGAAAACATATGCTCCTATCGCGAACCTTCGATGTGGTGAATTGAACATTTTCCGTATCATGTCTACTAAGAGAAAAGAAGTAGCTGGTGCCACCATAATGGCACCAACCTCTCCTATTTCATCATTTTAATTTAAAAGAAAACATTTTCCACAGCTATTTATGCTGTATCGTCAAAATGCAATGATTGTTCGCCGTTTTTAATACTTTTGTACTCGTTATCAAATGAAAGCAGTTGTTTTTTTTGTTTTTTTTTTTTTTTTTTCGAGTTGCTTTTGCGGCCTTGAAGCGAACTGCGTTTGAGCCACGGTCATTGTGGCGCCATCTAGGGTTCTTTCTACAAAACGGGGATGAAAGTTTTTTGCTCTGGAAGCGCCATCGGTCCACCTTAACTACTTCTGACACCGTGGTTCTGGCTACGGGCCTGCTGTGGGCATTTATTTGCATATAGTGACGTTGACATATACGTAGGTATATGTCATGGAATCATTATAGTCTCACATACATTTAATTTATTACTGAAATATTGCCAAATGTCACAAACTGTGGGCTTTGCAGAAGAGTGGTTTCTAAAAGTCTCTTAGTATGTGTTCTAGCCAGCTGCAAAGAGCTCTACCCAGTTGGCAAGGAATGAACTCAGTAGCTTCTTGATAACAGCAGTCTGGAAGAACAAATGCCATCACATGCTGGCCGAACGATGGCAGGATAGGATTATCTCAGTATAGATAGAATAAATGAAATTACGCCTGCACAATACATGGCGCAAGCAGGTGCAAGTGCGATTACCCCACCGATGTGCAGCGCCCTCACCTGTTGCCGTGGCCGGTCAGTCAACTTTTGCTTTCACGCGCGCTTTTTTGTTCGGGAAATGATTCGGCAGGCTGCACCAAATGGGGAAGATCGAGCAGCCGTGTCTTTGCACAGTTTACTGCGCAACTAGGTGCTACTACCATGGAAAAAATAACGATTAAGCTAAACATTAGGTGTTCTTCCATATTCAGAACTCAGAAAAAGAGCTATGGATTTCTCTCCACCAGTCGAACGCATCACCAAACTGCCATGACGTTCTTGCTGGTTCACTCACCAGAACGATGGCGAAAATAAGAGCAGACGTAACAGCTCCGCGCTCCTCAAAGAAAGACCTCTGTAAATGCTGCTTTCGCATTGTGAATTACAATGGACATAAATTACTTCGTTTTTTGCGATTTATAGCTGTCGCAACGCAGACTAGCAAGAGTGCTAGATATAAGCCATTGTGAATGTGTTGGGTAAGTGAAATATTGCCGTTCTGCACAGCCGGTCACATCAAAAAGTGTAATAATCTAGGTCTCTCATTATTAGACAGATTTAGGTGCATGTTCGCAGCAGTCGTACGGATGCAGACTCCCATTGCAAATTGCTGGCAGGCTGCGTCCGTACTGCTCCTGCAGACGTGCAACTAAATCTCTCTATTGTTTTGACTAGCCTTGACAGAGAACAACGGTAACTTTGAGTATGAAGCTCAACAGAACATTTGACCGCGGTGCACCCCGTGCAAAACTACACTGGTGACACGCACTGTAAACATCGCACACGCCACGATCGCAGATAATCTGAGGTAGTTGCCACCACACAGCATCGCGCGTATAGGCTTTGAAGATTCTAAGTTCTGGCTTTAACTAGCAAATGCAAACACGTTAGTTGTACAGGTAAATTGCAATATTTTGATCGTGACCACAATCAGGTTTTTTTTTTTTTGCCGTTGGTCTTCGCAATCGCCAGAGCTATCTCGGAGGCCTCGGTCTTGCCTTTCGTTGTACTCCAACAAAGTGACAACGAATGTATTCCCGTTTTCTATATAAAACAACTGTCAACAGAACATTCTAGGATTCATAATAAAACAATTCAATGCGCAGGAAGTGAGAGACGGATATGGAGAATGCAGCTGCAAAGACAGAAATCGGTGGGACCATTCGTGCCAGATAAAGCGAGCTTCATACCACTGATTGTAAGATATATTGCTCGTGTATGCACTTTATCGCTTTGGCAACATGTGTATATTCGAGTTTATGCGTTTAGGCGTTACAGAACCCACGTAGAGGTACTTACCTGGAACTCATCTCACGTGATGCTCGCTTCCACTCAAATTGTGAGTTATAGCACGCAGAATCATCTTTTGTATTGTACCCACAGTTCACTTCGATAAGCTTCCTAAGCGAGGTTGGCTTGACGGAAGAAGCTTGCCAGGTCCTCGATTTTCAGGAAACCGTGCCTCAACACTAAGGAAAGAGAAGGGCTTATGCACATTTGCTTGCAGACGTCTCTTTTGGCACTACCCAGTTATGGCCAGTGCAGTGATGAGGGCGCTGCTGGCGGCAGTGCCGCCTGGGCAGAGTCCGATGTCTATATGCGTATGCTGCTTGAAAACAGCTTCTTTGTTGCACTTCACTCATCTTCAGTGGTTCAAAACACTATCTTTTGCAAGCTGTGCTAGCCGTGCCGCCGGTGCACTTCATGAAAGCATTTTGTGATTTTCTTTTCTCGCAATCGTTTAACCGCAACAGCGGTATTTGCTGTGATCTCGAGGGGCGTCCATAAGCTTGTGCTGCGATGCTACGATGCACTTTGCCAACTTCGTAGCAACCTCACACGACGACTGCGATAATATCGTTGTCGTTGACATAGAAGCAAGCTACCACCAAAGCATTAAAACAAGCCATTGATAACACAACGACAAAATATTGCTGCTGTCTCGCTGTTCACATGAGAAGATATTGTAGAAAAGGCAGCCTATATCTTGCATCCCTTGAAGTACACGCGGATAAAAATCATGAAAAGCGAATTGCAACCGAAGCGAGAATCAGGGTCCACCATGTTTCGGAAATCCTCATGTTGTTTTTTGGGTGAGAAATGATTTATTCTGATTTTCCAGTAACCTGTGACGCGATGGCGAGGAATGGCCCTTCGTAGCTCGAAAATACCAGGCGTGTACATGGGTGGGCCTTAAAGCATGACCTTCTACAGAGGAGGTCGCCTCGCCGCTGTGGTCTAGGTGCTAAAATACTCGGTTGTTGACCTGCAAGTCGCGGGTTGAATCCCGACTGGCTCAGCTGCAATTTTGATGGAGGCGAAAATTCTGTAGGCCCGTGTGGTCAGATTTGGGTGCAAGTTAAAGAAACCTATGTGGTCAAAATTTGCCCCGCCGCGGTGGTCTAGTGGCTAAGGTACTCGGCTGCTGACCCGCAGGGCGCGGGTTCGAATCCCGGCTGCGGCGGCTGCATTTCCGATGGAGGCGGAAATGTCGAGGCCCGTGTGCTCAGATTTGGGTGCACGTTAAAGAACCCCAGGTGGTCTAAATTACCGGAGCCCTCCACTACGGCGTCTCTCATAATCATATAGTGGTTTTGGGACGTTAAACCCCACATATCAATCAATCAATCAATCAATCAAAATTTCCGGAGCCCTCCACTACAACGTCTCTCATAATCATATAGTGGTTTTGGGACGTCAAACCCGACATATCAATCATTAATATATAGGAGGTCATGCCTATAAGTTTCGCATTTGCAGGAAGGGACCGCTGGTTGGCACAGGCAGTTTAGTGGCTTTCGCTCGCTGTGTGCTTGTCATATGGAAACCATCATGAGGGCGCAACTAAGCACAACACACAGGGAGATACACACGAGGACAGGCACAAACTAACAACTGGCTTCATTTAAGGAAAATCCACACCTTTATATATAAACACCCTGGGCAAGGGCACCGCCCCAACAACAAAGTAAATTCAAGTCAGGCAAGAAAGAAATTGGAATTCAGCTTTGTACAATGCTCAATTTAATGCTGAATAATAAGCTTTATTGCTTGTTGCTCCAGGAATATTTTATAACCTATAAAACAAAGCATTATAGGCACATGTAGCTCAGTATGTACACAGGAAATATTAAAGCAAGAAATGTATCTCTGAGCAAAGAAAAAAACAAAAACATCGCAGTAGGCCGAAAAGGGCTAATCTGCACATGAGGCCCACCACTTTCTCATTATTTCAGTGGGATTCCAAGTACGCATGTGCGAGGTTGACCTGTTATTAACTATTGTGTCACTTCATTACGTAGTTATAATGTACTGTCTGTAATCATAGAAAGTAAGAGAAAACCTGAGAACCTTTTTGTAATGTTGTGAAGCATACCTTTTGAAACTTGAATACAGGACTTTGTTTTTTACTTTGAACCTTCTGTTCAATAAGCGTTTAGTAGTTTAGTAGTCAATAAGCATTTAGTAGCATTTAGTAGTCCCAAGCACTAAAAACATCCATTCAAGTGCTTCAAGTCATGTGGCTTAGGTTAACATTTTTTTATGAATTCTTTATTTCAGATGATTATTAACAGCTATTGCATATGCAGTGATGAACACACTCCTATTGGAACTGGCTTATATATTGGGTAAGTGTTTTTATGCTGTGATGACGTACTACTTTCATATACTTCTCTTTAATTTAATGCCTTAAATGTAAACATTTTGACAGAAGTCTGTCTGGCAGGGTGGAAGATTAAGGAAGTTGAATTACCTCCAGCCACAATCTTGGAGAAAACCCGAAGTTTCAAGACTGGCTTGGTCCCTTCCTCAGGGCAGGGAAGCATTGACACGCCTTTTCCTAGGCTCAGTCTTTCCCTTTTCCTCACGTTTCAGAGACCGTGCATGTAGATCGAAGGCATTGTTCCCAGGGACTGGATCACGTTTGCCGGTGCGTGTTGTATATGCCAGGATTCGAGCAAGAGCTTAACTCGTTTCCAGATTCTTTTCCGTTTCTATGACAGAACTGCCAGCGGAGTCAATCCCATGGTCGTGCTTCTCACAATGCTCTGCAAGGGCACTGCATTGCACTCCATCTTCTTGACGTCATTTCGGTACTGGTAAGCACTTACTCTTGCCTATGTAGCTCACAGGACATTCCGCACACGACACTTTGTATACCACGCCCTGGTGTTAGGCGCTAGGCCATGCTCCCTACCAGGCTGCAGAGATTAGGTGCCTTCTTCTTCTAACCACCACCCATGCCCTGGTGTTGCTCCTTGGATCTTCGATCTTTTATCCGTGGTAATAAGCATGCGAGCATTGAAGCTGGCTTATCAACTATCATGACCCCAATTTTTCCGAGAACCCTGGGAAGCTGCTCGCTAGTTCCCGAAGATATGGTATGACGACTTGTTGGGCTGGTCTCTCTGGTCTTATTGTAGCCGGTGGTGTGGCAAGTGAGGGACGGGGGTCGCATGTGTTATTCACAGGAGCGTCTTCGGGGTGGGTTGGTCGACCTCTCGACATACAGCGTGCCTCACTCTTTTGCGACAACACCGGCTACAATGGAACCAAAGATACTAGCCCAACGAGTCGTCATACCTTATGTTCCTGGGACTAGCGAGCAGCTCGCCAGGGTTTTTAGAAAATCTGGGGTCACAGTACAGTAAACACCCTTTAAGACGGACTCTGTTAAGACGAATTCTTACTTAAGACGAACAACATGGGAATATTTGTTTGGTTTCCCATAGACTCAATGCAAAAAAAATCTGCTTAAGATTAACCGTGTAACAGGCCTCTTCTGTTAAAGGGACACTAAAGCCAACTATTAAGTCGACGTTGATTGTTGAAATAGCGGTCCAGAAACCTCGTAGTGTTACTTTTGTGTCAAGGAAGAGCCTACTTTGAAATAAAATCACGTTTTAGTGCTCCACATCGGGTTAGTGCACTTCAAAATACCCGGCTCAAGAAGCGGACCGACCAGACCATCTCACGTCACTGTTGCTGTGCACAACATTGCCCGGCTTTACTGCGATAGTAGCAGCAGACTGAAAGCAGTGGGAGCCACAGCAGCAACAACGCTCATTGATCAATTTCCCCCTATTATCTTCGAGGTTGCAGACGCTTTTGTTTAAACTGTGCCCTGCTAGATGGCACCATCTGTTTTGTGTGACCTCGCGAAAATTGACTTTTTGAACCACTCGCGCCATTCCTCATGGTAACGTCCAGTGGTTCTTTTTTTTTTTTTTCATGAACCAAACAGAAACAAAGAAGCAGCATTTTATAGTGTCTCTTGATGCACGGAATGTTTTTTATTTGGTGCAGTTAGATCGATTACTAGCGATTAATTGTAGGTGCTCCGCCTGACGTCATCGGGATCATTTTGAAAATGTCCTACTGTGGCGCTTGTGTTCTTGTGTATTTACCTTAATTTCTTGGTAAGTAGGGCACTGTTGTTTATAATATTGTCGTTATAGATGTTTTCATACATTGAGCTTTCACTCTGATGTAAATTGTTATTTGACTTTAGTGTTCCTTTAAGACGAACTCTCGCAGCGACTGACAATGACAGGGATTCTGCACAACGATTAAAAGAAAGGGCCACCTTAATCAGCCAAGAAAGCAACAAAAAGCATTCGTCCTTTTGAATCCTCGCATTTTTCAGTTCTTCAACACAATGGAGTACAATAGAGAACAGATGAAGATAAGAGCCGGGCTAGAGGGGAAAATGCAAGAGAAGGGGGGGGGGGGGGTGAATAAAAGTGATTATGGGAACAAAGACTGTTTGCTCATTATAGTCACATGAAACCGAAACCACATATGGGGCACCAGCACTCCCATCAGAGGAGTCAGATGCATTGTCATCGCTGTCACACAATGATGCCTGAGCACATGTTGTGCTCAATTTGCATTGTTTTGCATAGGGCCTGTGCGCCCCGTATCTGTTCTCAGTGACATGCTTCAAATTGTAATGCGCCATTTTCATTATGGAAGTGCACAATAAAGGAAGGTCATTTTGCACTGAGTATTCCTGTGTCATGTATTGTTTGTCTGCCGGAGGCTTGTGATCGGGAGTAGTGTAAATGGAGATCCTAAGCTACTTGTCGTTAAGGAAAAGCTACTGCGAGCTGAAACTAAGCAAATATTTGAACCTTAAAACCTTACGTACTTTCATAAGCAACTTGGCATATAATTGGCTTTGTCAAGGTAACTGTATGCAATGGAGACATATCCAAAAGTGATAGCAAAGCCAGTAAAACAGCCTCTTAGAAGTAAACAGCCAGAAGAATCAATTTTTCATTCTTTGAACGAAAATTGTGCTTGTCTCTCCTTTTTTAAATTTTTCCAATCATCAAATTATGGTCATGGAACAGTTTTATTGCTAAAATGTGGTAGCATTTATTCATAAGCATATTTATGATGAACTCACGAAATCGAGTACTCATCAGATTAGTGTAAATACTCTACTTGAAAGCATGGTTTTTATCAAGCTTAGCCAAATAAACGCTTTTCTTGTTCCTTTCCTCCTCACTGTACGCATTCTCCAGTCAGTGTTTTCAAGCAACATATTTGGGTGCACTTGACATGTTAGTATTTGGTTTATGAAGGAACTTCTGATGAGACAAACTCCTGATAAGATTGACAAGTTATCGTGGTCCCTTCGAGTTTGTTTTAAAGGAAGTCTACTTTAGTTCATAAACCGGCTTCAATGCTCACACGCTTATTACCATGGCCGAAAAATCAAAGATCCAGGGAGCAACACCAAAGCGTGGGTTGTGGTGTGGTGGTTAGAAGAAGGCATCTAATGTCTGCAGCCCGGTAGGGAGTTTGGTGCAGCGTCTAACACCAGGGTGTGGTATACAAAGTGTCGTGTGTAATATGTCCTGTGACCTACATAGGGGAGAGTAAGTGCTTACCGTAAAGAATACGCCAGTATAGGAACAACGTCAGAAAAATGAAAGTGCAATGCAGCACGTGCCCTTGCAGAGCACTATAATAAGCACGACCACAGGATTGACTTAGACAGCACTTCTGTCATAGAAACGGAAAATAATCTGGAAATGAGCTAAACTCTTGCTCAAGTCATGACACTTACAACACGCACCGGCAAACGTGAACAGGTCTCTGGGAACAATGCCTCCGATCCTACTGCAAAGGCCTCCAAAACGTGAGGGAAAGGGAAAAACTGAGCCTAGGACAAGGCATGTCGACGCTTCCCTGCTCTGAGAAAGGGACCAAGCCAGTCTCGAAATGTTGGGTTTTCTCCAATATTGTGGCTGGAGGTAATTCAACTTGCTTAATTTAATGCCACACCTTATTTTCTCCTGAAATGTTGAAGTGGTAGTGATTTCATTTTTCAAAGCTGTGTTTACTCCGTCATACAAATCTTCTGTATACAGAGACGGCTCCGAGATAGTCTGAAACTCTGCAAATGTTCATAAAATATTTTGTTAAGATGGTAAAGTCCAAATTTCTCTATGGTGCACCTACCAACACAAACATTAGCCTGACGTCAGACTACACTACTAATTCTGGTGACTTCATGCAGCAGTCTCGCTAGTTGTGATGAAGCGGGTGCCAAAACTTATAAAATAACCACTTGTGCGTCATCGAAACTTTTTAAATGGCCACAGTGCAAAGCGGCTGTGAAAAAGTCGCAAAATCTTGCATGAGCACGTGACGACAAACTCATGCCGTATTCTAAACTCTATGAAACGCTCCACCTGCTGGCAACACTGGTTGAAAAATCAAAGGTGGCTGCACTTAACAGGGTCAACGCGGCACTTTGGCTTGCCGCTGTGTTGAAGTTTCTTGAGTGTAGTGTTGGATTGTATTTGCATTGTAGAAGGAGAAAGCATGCTCACCACGAACCATCTCATTCTCATCAGCATAAAGGATTTCACTGGCAACACAGAGTTAGTTGCGCTGTGTGCCTTAACGATGAGGTCCTTCGGTGAACCACATCACATTTACTTCAAGTTGAAACACGTGTCTAGCAAACCCAAGGTTAAAGGAGGTAACTGCTCATGTGTAGCGGGCCTCTCCGAAAAGTGCTAGCACTTTCGCGCTGCATTGCTACAGTGCTTCAACCAATGCCTTATCAGTTTGTGAGGTAACTATGCTGCTACTCGTGCTGCCGATTGCTTGTATCTCATTGAGTTCCACTGTCCAGTCAAAAGTTGAATACACGTGTCTTTCACTTGATTATAGAACTGAGCTATTCCTGGGCCTATGTATTTTTAGATAAAGCAAATCGTAGTTTTGATTGTGATAGAAGTGCTCGTTCCTTTTAGTTCGCAAACATTGATGTCAAGTTTCATATGAATAAGGTCCTGTGCTTCCGAACACTCACTTGTTCGTGTTGGCAGTAGTTGATATTCAAAACAGATACACGTATGCACACTACGCAGGCTACAGATTCACAGACAGGATATATATATGTATGATCATACGTTCATGCTATGCACATGCAACCTTTGCACACGCGTTGGTGTGAGTTTATATACACATATGCAAAATCAGTAATGTTCGGGAGAAGGATTACTACAGCTTAATTTGAGAAAGGGCATAGCACTATGACTTGCGCAGAAAGCAAGCGTATGCAGAACATACACCTACATGTAAGGCAACAAATTTACTAAAGCGCTTGCTTATGTAAATAAAACAATACCGTATAAACACGTGTAAGGGCCGCACTTTTTTTTCAGGAAGTGAGGGCTAATTTTCAGGTTGCGGCCCATACACGGAACTTTTTCTTTGGTGAACTAAAAACAACGTACCAGTTAGTGAACGAAGAGCGTTTATTGCAGTATGCCGCGTGTGCGCTTAATCGTCGTCACTCGACGAGTCCTCTAAGTTGGAGCCCGAGATAGTGTGTTGCGAAGCACCATCATTCCACAAACAGTCATCTTCGGTGCCATCCAGGCTGTTGGATAACCCAGTGACCTTAAAACTTCGGGACACAATGTCCGTCGACACCGAGCTCCACGCCGACAATATCCAACCGAGAACAGTAGCAAGCGGTGCCCTCTTCAGCCGTCCGGTCGGCGTGTGCTCATGGTTGCCGGTTGTTATCCATTCCGTGTAAAGTCTTCGGAATTCAACTTTGAATGGTCGATTCACGCTCACATCCAATGGTTGCAACAATCCTGTGAGGCCGCCTGGAATCACGGCCATGTCTGTGCCGACACGGCGCAGCTGCTCCTTCACCTTATCGGTAAGGTGGCCGCGGAAACTATCCAGTACTAAAAGTGAATGTTTGGCCAACAAAGCTCCCGGTCTGTTCTGCCAAACACTTTTCACCCAGTCTAGCACCGAATCATCGTTCATCCATCCCTTCTCTTGGGCTCTAACTATGATGCCCTTGGGGAAAACTTCGTTGGGAATTCTTTTCCTTTTCAAAACAACGTACGGGGATAGCTTCCGCCCGTCCGCGGTCACACAAAGCATCACGGTGCAGCGTTGGCGCTCAGCGCCGGTGGTCCGCACGGCGACACTCTTCTTGCCTTTTACTTCGACTGTGTAGTTCTTGGGAGAGTCAAACCACACAGGAGTTTGATCAGCATTCGCTATTTGCGACAACAAATAACTGTGCTGATGGCGCAGGCCGATGACATGCTTGTGAAAACTTATAGCCAAGCAGCTGAATAGCTGTATAGCTATTCAGCTGCTTGCCTATCGTGCGAAAACGTAAACGTCCCGCAGAAAACTAGCTGGAGTCCCAGAGTCATACGGTACTCTGTGCTTAAAGAAACCCAAATATTGATAAGAATGCGCATGCGCTACATTATTGTGCACTCATCAAGGAGAACTGTGTCATCACGAGCGAACTGATTAGAACAAACTGCCATAGTGTCCGTCACCTTCTTCCCAATTCGTAAGTTTCTGATTTGCGCTGTTTGCCGTCGTGCATAATCTGCACTTTTTGGGAATCGGTAGGCCAACATGATGCCGCCTTTCCACCATGATGCAACGCACTGTAGCACAAAGTTATTGTCTTTGGACATCACTTTCATTTTTTGCGGGCTCGCGCGTGCGGCATGGCAAAAATAAAGAAACATGCGGCCACTTCTCAATGCGCGCAACGTGGTGACATCTCCTTTCAAGGTTGACCATGTTAGCGCTGTTGTTAGGCACGGCCACTAGGTGGCGAGCGTTCAGTTGGAGTCACGAATTGAAACGTTAGGGTACAGTAGGAACCGAAACTAGTTTTTAAAAACATATTGTAATTACTTTTTTCAAGTGTGCTCATACACTAGCAGAGCATTTTTCAGGCCCTTGAAGTCTTAGCCTTTCGTTTGACACAAAAAAATTACAACTGAAAATTTTTGTGTTGGCAATCCTACTATTGCTTTACATATGTAAGTAGTAAACTCAAACATCATTATAACATAGTTACACCTTACACGAAAATAACTTTGTTATATCAGAAAATTTATTATAAAGGTTTATTCCTAACACTATATTATTGCAAGACTATTCTCATTCACTTCGTTTTAACTGATATTTTGTTATATTTGGGGTCGTTTTATCGAGGTCTGAGTACTGTGATGAAACGTACACAAAAAAACGTGAGTTACATCTATAGTAGCCTATTTATCTATTCTGGTGTCATGAGAGATGCTTAAATTTAGGAGTGGAAATGACAGTTTCAGCTTCCATTTCATTTAAAGTGTACATATTCTTGTTGTGTGACCATTTATTCAGTCACAATGACGTTACAGAATTAGTCATTTATTCATCAACTTTTAAAGGAACTGACATGTACTATGCCAGCTGAGGCTTTTCTCTACTGTTCGCATTCTGCTTGCAGCCCATCAATCCTTGACCATTCATGTTCTCCAAATGCACATGCAGTTTATGAAGGGCATAAACTGCACCTTAGGGCTGCAAAGGATATCAATTGCAGCATTGTTGATGGTGTAAGTTGAGCCTGTTTGATTTCTTTTTTCATTGAAGCTGTTGATACTATCACTATAAGCATTCTGAAATGTTCTTGCTTTGATGTTGTCCTACAATTATTAGATCATTCACTCAGTTACTTTGCAGCTTCACATTTGTCACTGTTAAAATGAATAGCTTGTGGACACTCAACAATAACATGCACAGTTTGCAGAAATTAGCACCGGTGTTTTACTAGGCTGTAAAAGTTCGAGTTTCTGCATCGCATTGAGTAGTAAGCAGGAATTGCAGCAATTCACTATTTTCAGTATCACAAATACCAGTTTTTGATAGCTCTTTACAATGGATTCTCCAACTTTTTAATGTAAAGTATTTTATGGAGCCCTCTCTGTATGTTCAATGTTAAAAAATAGGATTGTATGACTATGACACTATTTTGCTAGTAGTCATTCATCATACCTCCTCCATGTCTGTAGCGCATAAAATAATCTTTAAAGGGGGCCCTGCTGCACTTTTTCTAGTAACCATTAAATGTCTACACTAAAGGAGTTTGTCACCTTATAAATCAGCCACCACAAAAATGTTTGGAATCCGTCAAGTACAAGCAGAGTTACAGAGCTTTGTCATGCACTGTGATTTCTTTTCTCATCCTGACAAATGCACCAAAACTTAGCAAGGAGGAATGGTATGGGAGAAAAAAGCTAGGTCATGCACGCGTGGTAGCATTGAGCACTTTTACTTTTTTTCTTTTTTTACTTTCAGCATGATCTTGAGCGCATCGGGGTCAAGTGGTGGCCACTGTAACTATTCAGCCCACAATGCTCAAATCAGCCATTGGCCGTGAACTTGGATTTACAATCGCAAGGTCATTAGGGTATATGGCATCACTTGTAGAAAAAAAGAACAATTTTCAACTGACTCTGAGAAATAGTTGTAAATAACAAGCCACGTGCTGCACTATAATGTTTGGCTCGTGTGTTCTTGAGAGCCCCAGCTTCCGATTGGTAGTGCTTTCTGACCATGTTAAAAAGTGTTGCAGGACCCCTTTAAGGGAGAGCATTGACACTGCATTTGCATGTGTATTATAGGCTTTGGCAAAGCTTTCACAAATTTCCTGAGCTGCACTGTTGCTAGCTCTCTCCTCTTACATGTGTTCCTTTGTTACTTGGTCATCTCTATCCTCATATTGCTATTGCCTTCACTTTTTCTCATACTGCTGCCTAAATTAAAGGCAACCTAATTAACAATCAACTTGTGTGCCTTTGCAATATTTTGCTCTGAAGCAGTTGTTGCATGGCTTAGAGAAAAGCAGGAGGTCAGCCTTTGCTTATGCTATGAGCCTGTGGCATAGCAGAGCTTCTAGGCATAGTAGAGTATCTTCAGTCACTATCACACAGATTTTATTTTTTAGCTTGTTCGTTTTATAAAATTTGGAATCAGTAACAATAGATGTGGGGTGTAAATGCACTGTAGTCAGTTTGACTGGAAAGTTGAATTTTTGCGGTACCACTCACAAGCTTTTCAGTCCTCAAAATTTTACATCACCAACAGTTGGGAATGTGAGTGCTTCTCTAAAGTGGTATGTACAGTAGCATGCTGGAGAGCATCTTTCAAGGCTAGAAAAGTACTGCTGGACAATACAGCAGAATAGGCAAGAATAAACACCCTAATAGTATTTTACCATCGAAGCAAGCAGTATGTGTTATTTAAGGGCACAGAGTAAGCCTTATACATCACATGTATTTCTTACAATTTTGAAGAACCATTTCTCGGTGACTAAAAGTGGTACGTATCTACATAATGCATCAGTGATGTGATAGCTGCACCAACTGTGCAAAACTGCACCAAAAGGTGAAACCTGTTATACACCCCGCCATATTTCTGCAAAAATCTTATAATTAGTGCTGAGAATGTACCAAGACATCACTCTGCAGTTTAAAAAAAAAAAAAAACCTGCTTGCAAACTATACCGTATTTACTAGCATACTTTGTGCACTTTTTTTCGCAATTTTGGGGTCCTGCGAAGGGGGTGCACAAATCACGCAGAAAGTTCGCGAGAGCATACGAAATATTGCGTCATAGTCGTAATGTGCGCAATATATACGTCTACAAAATTGGAGCGGAAACGAAGTGGACTTGTTAATTTAGCATATTTAGCACATACTTTAACCAGTCAGATCTAATCACGCGCGGTCTAGTGGGAATCATTGATTGCGAAGTCTAATTGCGAGTCATCGTCGCGGCCACTGCCATCCCAAAGTGCATCATCCTCTTTTTTTTTTTTTTGGTCGCGCGTTCGAATGCCCCATTTTCTTAAAGCTCTTCGCAACAATGGTGTGAGAAACTGGGTCCTACGACACGGCGGCGATACCGAGTGACTTAAACATTCGCGCACAATTGAAAAGGCTTCAGTGGCAGGAAACTTTCATTACAAAGCACGAAATATGCAAGTAAGTATTTTTTAGCAAAGCTGATAAAATATTACGGGCGCACAAATTAGGCAAGTAAATATAGTATTTAAGTTAGGTACCACTGTAATTTCAAGTGGTTGTTAGAGCATGCTAACGTGTACTATGTTGTTGAAGTAGTTGCTAATCACAACGCTGCCAAACAATTCAGATTGACCCATACTGCGTACATAAAGTTTTTTACTACTTCTAGGCCATACCGTATGACATTAACGATCTCCGTAAGGTATCTTCTAACTGTTGAGGACCAAGCTTCATTGAGCAGTACATTTATGGGTTTAAATAGACCATTTGTTGTTATAGTTTGTTTTTTCAAAAAAGTATTGTACTATTTCTTGTGATATACTACCATAAAAGTTCGTGTAGGGTGCTCAATTCACAAGTTGTGTCTAACCGTACAAGCACCAAACTTTATCAAGAATATCACTCACTGTGGCGTACTGGGGATTTTGCTGAGAAAGCATGGTGGTACTTCAGTTCTGCTTCTCAATAGCACAAACAGTTCCATTTGAAAACTTGCTGAAGTTAAATATAATCCCTCGCATTACCACAAATTTCATTGGGAACAAAATGGATTTCTGGCACAAAAGACCAATTCCTGCAATTTGTCAATCATCCATGGACTACAATCTGCATTATACTCTCCATAAAAAACAACCACAGGAACTTCAAGCAGCAAAGCCCTAGGCTGTACTGAAAGTACAGTTGTCATCAAAAGAGTCTTTCTGAATAGTAAGAGTACACAGAAATATTATACAGATTGTGCTTCCAGTACTGTAACTGAAGCGTCTGGAAAAGTAATATTTATTCACAGATACGAGGTGGACTCTGGGAAAATGCTTGGTGGCCTGAGGTCATGGCTTTAAAGAAACTTTGGGCTGCCCTCATAAAAAATGACGAGCAGTAACATAATTTCATCTTTCGGGGTATTCCAAGTAAAGATACATCTATTTGTATTCATACTCATTTTGTAAAACATATAATATAACTGGTCAAGCTTCTAGACAAATATTCGCATTGGAAAATGTTTATTTGATAACTGCTCCAAAAGGTTGCTATGCTGCTCCAGAAGCTGCACCCAAGTGGCTTCGGTTGATCACATCCTGGAATATGTTTGTCATTTTCTTCCAAATTTTTTGCTCTTTTAACTGTACCAGATCTATTACAATCTGACTAATATGAAAATTTTGAAGTACCGTAATTTGTACCTCTCAAAATATGTTACTCAAAAACTGTGAAGTGCAGATTTTCAATTCTGATACAGTAGTTCTGTGCACTTAGGGAGAATACAAGAAAATACATACATATTAGTTATGTTGGAATAAATAGAAAATAATTGTACCTAACTAATAAAAATTATGTTTTTGAAATGATCGAGCTTGAAGAAAACAGCTAAAAAGGGGAACATTATTTGCCACAAACACTGTGCAACTATATTATTTAGTTGCTACAAGCTTCGCAGTCATTAGCCAAGTCATTTCCTTACTTTGGGCCTGTCGTCTTGCTTGCCTTTCTTTTGATGTGCTGTCATACAGCTATGCCCATACCATATCGTCGATTGTGGTAAACTATCAGAAAATTGACTGTATTTTGGCCAAGCTTCAATCTTAATGTTTTCAGAATTTTGGCTCGTGTGATCTTGCCATTGTTAAATGAAAGAATAGCCTGCAATGTTACAATCCTTAAGACCCTCAACACTAAACAAAGACAGCAAATACTCTTTGATGCAATTCCCCCGCAGGGGCGTCTGCGCAAGCAGGCATTTGGTGTTTGGCAACACCATGGACCCTAGCCAACGGGGGGTTCAGACTCGTTCCCATGCCTCGCCGTGCGTGGCTTAGCTGTGTCCGGGGAAAAGGGGACCTGGGGGTTGAGCCGACACCGGGAGATTGGACCTTTAAGGCTCCCCGGCAGAGGCAACACACCTCTTTGGCCCCGGCTTCCCGCAGATGGCACCCCTGGGCTGACCCACCCAGTGGAAATCGGCAGTCGCCTTTTCTTATCTCCTTCTTTCCTCATCTTGGTCTTTCTCTCACTTTTTGTCTGTCCTGTCATCTTATTTACTTCCAAATTTCTTGGAGGCGAGGGTTAACCTTGTGTAGGTATCCAATCTTTGGTAAATACATTAGGTTATAGCGACGATGCATGGCTAGTGTCTCCAAGTGTTTGTGAATCAACATTGTAGCGTCCCCTTGTTGAGCTTGGTGGTGGGTGGCCACTATTGCCGCCGAAATAAATACTCTCCGTATGGCAAATGCTTTTTCCCCCTTTCCTGATCCTCCCTCAAAAGGTGGCGCACCAAAGAAGCAAGTACGTTAACTAAACCAAAGCAGGGCTTCTAAAGTATCATGTAATTCATAGTCAAAATGAAAAGAAGAAAGTCTGAGCGATTTCACCGTTCCTAATGTCAAACACTCTTAGCGGAAGAAATCGGCCCAGGGTACAAAATCACAAAGATGGGAAGTGGAGACCTTCTATTGGAGGTTCGAGACGAAGCACAATACGACAAACTATCCAGAATTGTATCGTTTGGGGACACACCTGTTTCAGTG